CCAGTTCACCGGGCAGCCATGCACATGGTTGCACCAGCACAGTGCAAGTGGCAGCACAAGAGCTTGCACAGAGGTGGCTGCTTGTTCTGGGAAGGCTGCTGGAGCCATGGCCTCAGCCAGCTTGTGGCTGAACCGTATCCTGGGCTGTATGAAAAGCAGCATGACCAGCAGGTCAAAGGAGGTGATCCTGCCCCTCTACTCTGCTCTTGTGAGGCCTCACTTGGAGTATTGTGTACAGTTCTGGTGTCCTCAACATAAAAAGGACATGGAGCTGTTGGAGCAAGTCCAGAAGAGGGCCACGAGGATGATAAGAGGGCTGGAGCACCTCTCGTATGAAGACAGGCTGAGAAAGTTGGGGTTGTTCAGCCTGGAGAAGAGAAGGCTGCGTGGAGACCCCATAGCAGCCTTCCAATATCTGAAGGGGGCCTATAAGGATGCTGGGGAGGGACTCTTCAGTAGGGACTCTAGTGGTAGGACAAGGGGGAATGGGTTTAAACTTAAACAGGGGAAGTTTAGGTTAGATATAAGGAAGAAGTTCTTTACTGTGAGGGCGGTGAGGCACTGGAATAGGTTGCCCAAGGAAGTTGTGAATGCTCCAACCCTGGAGGTGCTCAAGGCCAGGCTGGACAGAGCCTTGGGCGACATAGTTTAGTGTGTGGTGTCCCTGCTCACGGCAGGGGGGTTGAAACTAGATGATCTTAAGGTCCTTTCCAACCCTAACTATTCTATGACTCTATGTTACAGCCACCATCCTCCAGTGCTTTTGACTAATTGCCAACGAAATAAAAAGTATTAGGAGGCATCTCAATTGCAGTTAATGACACTTGATCCTGTACAGATCTGTGCCCTGTGCCCCTTGCTCCCGAGCATAATTCCTCCTCTTATCCAAATTCATAACGGCCCCTTTGTTTCTCATCCCACCCCATCAAGTTCACTCATGCCTTTCTTCTCCTCTATCCTCCAGCCACCACCCCCTCAAGTGTTTCATGTTCCTTATATGTGTGCTGACTACCAGCAGGCAAAATGCCATGCAGCTGACCATCCCAAAGACCCAACAACCGCTAATTGTTGAGCCGCTGCTTCAGTAACTTTTTTCTCCTAGGGCTGTGGCTGGCTGTGAATTCCCTCCGTGGCAATGCCAACCCCAGCAGCAAAGCCCCCAGATGTTCAGCCACATCTGCATGCAATGTGGCTACAAGCATTTGTGCAGCACATGGTGAAATGGATCAGGGACCTGCTCCAGCTAGAGGGAAAAACCCCTGACCAGCCTCCTGCCTGCCCGTCACACGGCTAGAACAGAATACACAGCCAGAGTCACGACAGCAATAACTGGAGTCTCCCTTTCATCCAGGCATCTAATCCTGGACAGAGATGTTAATCTTCTAAGATTTTTTCCTACAATGCCAAGTTTCGTTGAAGTTGGCCAATGTTACCATCTAAGCCTTGGATTCTTTTTAGCCGCTGGGACCACCTGGTCCTTGGCTGACAGCACCAATGGAAGGTGAATTTTGAGATTTTACATAATTGTATTTAAAATTTTAACTCAATTTTTTTAAGAATCTCCTCTCCTAAAGGGAGATACACAGGAACAGTCCATGGGATGAACAGGTCCATAACCTGCCAACCAGGCCCAAGTGGCATCCTTACTTCTCACAAAAGTTATTTTATCTGTATTACACATACAAACCCTATTTCTCCACCTTGACTTACAGCTGCAAACGGTGTTACAAGAGACAGAAGCTTTTACTCCATTATTTCCTCCAGGATTTGTGCAACACGTTCTGGGGAACAGCCTCATGGGAAAGAGCAGAAGACACTGACGAGTGCTCTGGGATTTATCAGAACATGATGGAATACAAAAATAGTGAAAAGAACCTAACAGTGGCATGACAACCGCACAGAGAAGAGTGATGGGGAACTGTCAAAAGAAGGTTAAGGCAGCAGAGTGATGGGGACAAAGGGAGGCAACAGAGCTGGGATTAGAAATCATTATCATGAAGAGTGGCAAGGAAGGAAACACCAACCATGTAGCTACTCTGTAAAGATGAAATGAGTGTTTCTTCTGCTATCCATCCTTTGGTCACAAAACGTATACCCCTTAGTCCCCCGACACACCAGACACTGAAGTCAAACCAGGCTATGGCACGCATGGACCGCGTGTGCTCGGGAAGGCCGGGGCCGCCGGGCAGGCTGCGGGCTCC